TCCAGCATGAAGCCCTTGTCGTCAACACTCGGGTCAATCCGAGTCCGGAATCCCGGGATAAGGCCGTCAATGGGCTCCACGTCAAGAGCTCGAAAATACCGCGCAGCATGCGAGTTGAGAAGGAACCGGTAGTTGTGATAATCTCGTTGTTCAAGGAAATGCAAAAGCTTCGACCAAACCATCTGGGTGATCATACTGCCAATCCCCACTCTGTCAGCATCCAATGTAAACGCTCCTTCACCGGGTGCATCGCTCATTCTGTTTCCTGTCCACATAAGTGTCTGGTGCGTCGCGCTCTCTATAACGATGACGTAGCCACCGCCACGGCTGCGGGTCGAAAGTTCACGTGCAGCTCTCTCTGTGCGACACCACCTGGGTTGGGCTGCAGGAATTCCACGTGTGACCGACTTTACTCCTAAACAAAGCCTCAGGCCTACGAAAAATCCTCAGAAGGGGCTTCAAAACCTTTCAAGATCAAACCTCGATCGGGCCTAAAAAAGTCCTCATAAAATAAACGCCCTACAAAACCAGGCTTCACGCCTCCTTCCTGGTATCCTCTACTCAGGTAGCAGTCGCAGACTGGAACACGCAAAAGCAAATCCACATCCAAATCCGGTGCACACCATAGAAGGTTACCCCCAAGAATGTCCAAACCCTCAACAAAACTGTGCACCTTAAAGACAGTCTCTTACTAAATGCAATGCCAAACTATTAGTCAAGAGAACCGGGCACCATTGCAACTTAGCCGCCCTCGTTCGCCCCAGGTTGCATGGCTCAGCGTGCGCTCCTGGTCTCTGTGCCGGAATGCCGGGCACAGCACGATAAAGAACTCGCATCTTGCCACGTACGAGGGAATGCTCTGAATGGCATTCTGGCGGACCAAAGATGCATGGCCATCAGCGTTCTGCGGGATGCTGAAGTAGTCATACCAGACATGAAGACCGGATGCGAAATCATTGGCCGTAGGGCACCTTCTGCGACCATTTAGGATTTCCGAACACACAGGTAGATACACCTTACTGGTTCCGGCCACCATGTTCTTCAGCGCATCTTGCAAGGTTCGCAGCTGCTGGAAGTATGGATCGGGGTGTGCGTCACTCAGCCACTGGTGCGACACGAACATGGCGTTTCCCATGATCTCATCAAACTCTGTGACCACACCGGCGTCTAGCAGCTCCTCGTGCATCTTGACTTCTGTCATCTGCAAGAATGCATCGGCCGGCACGGTGTACATCGCAAAGGCGACGTCGCCTAGGTTTCAAAGGTGCTTTTTGCCGGGCTGAGGCACTTCAGGCCATAGGCTCTGGTAGATAGCGGCTTGAGGAAATGCAGCAATTAGTTGGGGCGAACATCACCAAACCTGCAACCCGAAACAACCGAAGGAGCGCCTGAGCTGCCGCCTGAACGACTTCTGCCGGGCTTGCACAGCGACGAGGCAAACTTCTCAAGAGGCACGCTGGCCATGGCGACTTCAAAAAAAAACGTCTCCGGCTTCCGCTCTGGGAAGGTGACACTGCACCTGTGCACGCTGGGTTCAAAATGCTCGCCAACCGGTCATCGGCTTACTGCAAAACTCCACCCACCGAGCACTTCTCATTCTAGGGCTTCTACTTCTAGATTCTTACAAGATTCTTGACAATCTGCTGGGTGAAACCGACCATGCGCGGAGAACCCCTTACACCCTGAATCGTAAACCAGGAGCCCGAAACCAGCTTCAGATGCCCTTCGACATGGGATGACGGAAACGGTGACTTGAAACAGTGAGTGTGAGAGGCACTCGAGGCCCAATATTTCAAGGCCCGCCTTCTACTGGCAAGCCTTTCGTCCGTGACCTTCTTGGCCCATATATTTAAGTGCAGCTGACTTAAGGCTTATAGGGCTTAGGTCTTGGACAAGTTGAGAATATATAGCCCTCGTGAGAGTTTTTGGGCACGTGGTGCGATATATCCAGTTTCAAACATGCCCGACCAGCCCCCCAGGACGGACAGGGCATGGAACCCTGCAAGCAAGGGACAAAAAGGTAACCCCTCCCTCCTTACAATCTTAATCGGCCAAGTCCTTCGATCACCCCGGCTTTCCGATAGCCTTGGTGCTTAAGGCTTGCTGGAGCCCTGAAACCCGGTTCTTCAACACTTACAACACCTACAAGAACCCCCCCCAATCAGGATGTCCAACCACTCGCAAGCAGCCTACAAGGACAGGACCCTGGAGCCTCCACCGGACAGCTGATGTTGCTGGGCTGCTTCCTTTGCGGACTTGCAGCGGATGTAGCAGAGTTTAAAACAGAAGGTCTGATGCAGAGGGGCGGGGCCGAATCTGGCCGAAGAACTGCTTCATACCAAGCTCCACTCAGCCTTGTCTTTGATTCTTGTCAAGGCCCCTCCACCAGGAGACCATGTGTCGGGGTCAGGGACCAGACCGCCTCTCTCAATTTGAGATGGCACGGGTGAGTCTGCTCAGAATGCGTCTCGATACGCGGAAGATACGCGGAAAAGCGCCAACCACAGCACTAGCTGGGAACGCAATGGCAAAAGCTGTCTAGTTCATTAAGCCAAAAAACAATTCGGACAAGCCTTGAGCTCATCGTTGTGCGGGCCCTTGCGGGCCTGGACCCTCAAATGAAGAAGGTATCGCTCTCAGAGCTCTCAATCGAGCAAGCCTCTATCAACCACGGTGGCGCGAGCATCTCATGTGCCAGATCGGATGCGATTCTGTTGCGGTAGTTGCGGATATCTACTCTGGCTCCGGCTGAGAGCAGAGAGGACACGGAATCCAGGCAACCACTCAGAATGCCGAACATCAGCGGCGTAGCATCGTAATGATGATATGCCAGCAACGTCAGTCGGGACGGGCTTAGCCGATGCCTCACGCCCATGACGTTCATTAGAAGCCACCAACCTGGCTCCCGGATCTGTACTCGGAACTGTTCGTTCATATCCGCTCGAGCCTCCAGCAAGAGCGGCACGGAGTCGGCAGAGCCGCCTCCAGCGCACATGAGTGCGATGTGTAGAGAGTGCCGCAAGCTCACATGCGGATTCAGAGCGAGCATCTCCTTTATGGCGCGCCCGCTTCCGCATGCACAAGCGACCATGAAAGGGTTCAGTCCCGGTATTGCTTGCTGATTGATATCGGCTCGAGCATGACACAGCAGACGAACTCCAAGCGCATTGTCCCCGGCACATGCCAGATGGAGGGTAGTGCCACCACCAACAAACTTGGGGTTCACCTCGGCTCTGGCGGACAGGAGCAGCTCAACAGCTTCGTTGTTGCGTAAGAGGGAAGCCATTCCCATAGCCGTGACTTTGGCGGGCAAGCCGATGTCTGCCTTGGGCTTGCTCGTGGACTGGTTTACATCCACTCTTCGGTCAAGAAGCGCTTGCAGCACCACGAGGTTGTTGCTCATTGCTGCGAAGCAAACTGGTGGCCATCCTTCAGAATCGCGCTCGAAGATGCTCCTGATGGGTTGGAGCGGAGATCGAGGATAGGTATGTTAGTGGTATATGTAACTTTCCTACCAGTAGATTTGGGTAGGGGCTTTTGGTTGAACAGCTCCTGAAGCCATTCTGATGTAGGAAACGCTCCAGCATGAAGCCCTTGTCGTCAACACTCGGGTCAATCCGAGTCCGGAATCCCGGGATAAGGCCGTCAATGGGCTCCACGTCAAGAGCTCGAAAATACCGCGCAGCATGCGAGTTGAGAAGGAACCGGTAGTTGTGATAATCTCGTTGTTCAAGGAAATGCAAAAGCTTCGACCAAACCATCTGGGTGATCATACTGCCAATCCCCACTCTGTCAACATCCAATGTAAACTCTCCTTCACCAGGTGCATCGCTCATCCTGTTTCCTCTCCACCAAACTGTCTGGTGCGTCGCGCTCTCTATAACGATGACGCAGCCACCGCCACCACTGCGAGTCGAAAGTTCACGTGCAGCTCTCTCTGTGCGACACCACCTGGGTTGGGCTGCAGGAATTCCACGTGTGACCGACTTTACTCTGGAACTCTAAACGAAGCCTCAGGCCCACAAAAAATCTTCAGAAGGGGCTTCAAAACCTTTCAAGATCAAACCTCGGGCCGAAAAAGTCCTCATAGAAGAAAAGCCGGCTTGACGCCGCCTTCTGGGTATCCTCTACTCAGGTAGCATTAGCATACCGGAACGGAACACGCAAAAGCAAATCCATCCAAATCCGGTGCACATTATAGAAGGTCACCCCCCACAAATGCCCAAACCCTGAACTCGCCTCGGCCTGTGCACCTTAAAGACAGTCTCTTACTAAACGCAGTGCCAAATTATTCGTCAAGACATGTCAAGAGAACCGGGCACCATTGCAACTTAGCCGCCCTCGTTCACCCCAGGTTGCATGGCTCAGTGTGCGCTCCTGGTCTCTGTGCCGGAATGCCGGGCACAGCACGATAAAGAACTCGCACCTTGCCACGTACGAGGGAATGCTCTGAATGGCATTCTGGCGGACCAAAGATGCCTGGCCATCAGCGCTCTGCGGGATGCTGAAGTAGTCATACCAGACATGAAGACCGGATGCGAAATCACTGGCAGTAGGGCACCTTCGGCGGCCACTTAGCATCTCTGAGAGCACAGGTAGACTCACCTTACTGGTTCCGGCCACCATGTTCTTCAGCGCATCTTGCAAGGTTCGCAGCTGCTGGAAGTGTGGATCGGGGTGTGTGTCACTCAGCCACTGGTGCGAAACGAACATGGCGTTTCCCATGCTCTCATCAAACTCTGTGACCGCACCGGCATCTAGCAGCTCCTCGTGCATCTTGACTTCTGTCATCTGCAAGAACGCATCGGCCGGCACGGTGTACATCACAAAGGCGCCGTCGCCTGAGCTGAGGCACTTCCGCCCATGGGCCTACTAAAGTGTTTCGGATAGAGGGTATAACCTGTGCTGGTACAAGGCTGCTGTGGAAAAGCAGCAGCAGGTCGGATCGAAAGCCACCTTGGACCTGCACAGCCTTAGCTCCGAACGCGTCAATGTCAAGTCGCATGAAGCTGCTCTGGTACGGGGTTTCCGCAGCGACGAGGCAAACTGCTCAAGAGGCACGCTGGCCATGGCAATAACGACAGATGTCTTCGGCTTCCACTCTGGGAAGGTGACACCATGCCTTTTTGAGCAGGCTGGGCGGAAGAATGCTCGGCAATCAGTCATCGACTTGACAACTGCAAACTCCACCCACCAAGCACGTCTTGGGCCTCGGCCTAGAGATGAAACCGACCATGCACACAGAAATGCTCACCCGAGCGGCCCAGTTGATCTCGAAGATCCATGGCTTGCCCCACCTTGCAAAGATGTTCGACGACACTAGTCACTATCGTCACTAGTGCTCAATTTTCTTGAAACAGAACTCCCAGAATTGAGGGGAACTCTGACCTGTAGAACAACCCTGTGATATGCTCGCGGATGTAGAGGAAGCCTTGGTCAAGAAATTTCCGTTGCGAACCCTTGTCAAGCAAGACCCTCAAGCCCTACAGAAGCATAAAACACAACAGCATGACAAGAAGACAAGCCCCACACCGGCCCACACCCTCAAGCCTTTGAGTCCAAAGCCTATAGCCGCCATCCAAACCCAAAACTCGCTCCAAAACTCGATGACAGCCTTACTAGATCATTGGTAAGCAAACAATAATATGGGTTAAGCTTGCCCACCTTCTTCCAAACGTCGGCGTTGTTCGGAGTGGAACGGCTGAGAGCGATGCCCTTCTTTCTCAGCTCTTTTTGCCTTATGGTCCGTGAGATTGTTGGGATGAGTGCTGTAGGGCTTAGGGTCCGGGATCTTGGGAGGGTTTAGGGCAGCTGTGCTTGCTATCAGTGCCTTACTACTGTCAGTCTGTGGCTTGAGTCGTTTTTGGAAGTGCCTCCCGGCAAGTAAGCGCGATGGACACACTGGTTCTCCGCTCAAGCGTGCACCACTCAAACTTGCCGAACCCCTGCGCCAACCCAACCCTGGAGGTCCTTGGTTCGGGCTTGGGATGCAGAGTGAGGTTTTTTTCCCTCTTTAAGCTAAGTAACCACTTACAGAAGAAGAAGAAGAATAATAATAAAAATAATAACAACAAACATGGCATGAGGTTTAGGGTTCAGGGTTTAGGGTGTAAGGTCTAGGGTTCGGGATGTTCTGCCTCCTGCAGTGTTGCTCGAAGCGCCAGTCAGGGTGCCTGGTATACATTCCAGTAAACGCAGGCTTTTCAAGTTCAGGGTTTTGAGGGATCAGGGTTGAGGGCTTGGCAGTCAAAGGTTTTGGCGGGGGTTTAAGAATCGGCAGGTTTAGGGGGAACTGTTTTTTGAATGGCCTAAACCCTCTAAGCCTCCATAAACTCCACATGGTACAAAACCTGACCCGAACATTATAGGAGTCAAAATATTCTAGGATTGCACGGCCCCTAGAACCCCCCAAACAAAGTACAGTTTTAAAGGGCCTTGCTGGGCGACTGAATCTAGCACGCGCGGCAACCTCGGAAAACGAGGGGCCCACATGCTGACCCTCTCCTGATTTGATCATCTACCACTGTAAGAACCCCCGAGCCTGCAAGCCCTGACGCCAGAAGGTCCTGATTTCACAACTTCAGAACAGCCCATCTTCGGGGCTTACCCATAGGCCCCTAAGTAGTTCCTTTTTGGGATTACCTTTTAGGATTCTAAATATAAACCATAAAAAGGAACTACTTAGGGGCCTATGGGTGGGGCCTATAAATCTTGACAAGTATGGGGTTAGGCCCTGAAAGCCACACTCTGCAAAGCGTTAATCCTGCTTGCCCTCTTGACGGGACTACAACCCAACCCCAAAGGCTCTCAGTTTCGGACAACATGCAGCTGAAAACACATCCTTCAGCGTGAGGACCCCAATAAGCAGAGCCCCAACGGAGAGAAGTCCCATTGAAAGCCAACCCCGAAAACACCCTATGCCCCTCTGTCTATCTATCTATATATAGAGAGACCCCAGCCACAAAAAATATAAAAAACTGCTGACGAGATGCAGATGTCTCTGCACCTCAAAAATCTTCGACAATGTCTTCTTTCGGGCATGGCTGGACCGGAGGCCACGGTTCACCTTCTTGGCCTTTCAGGATTTGGTAATCAGGTGGCTTATGGCTGAGGGCATAAGGGTCTGAGGGCTTTGGGTTAAAACAATGTTTGGTTGTACATGTATAGACATGTCCATACACACGTGTGTATACATATATATATATATGTATGTATATGCATATTATTAATAGTACTGTTGTTATTATTATTATTACTATTATTATTAGTGGTATATATATATATATAGATACGTGTGTACATATATATATATATATACATATGTATACATATGTAACTTACATATATGCATATCTTGAGTGCCCCGGTTCTTCTAAGGTGAGGTTCGTGGAGGTCCCCTGAAAGGCGGCTATTTTCGGCTATAAGCAGTAGTGTCACAGGTACCCAGAATGGGGCCTGAAGATAGGCAAAGACGCATCTAAAGAGCCTGGATCCGGCTGCCAAGGACACAAAAAGAACAAATCAAGCCTGTCAGGACCCTCCTTGTACCCTCAAATGGGGGTATATGGTCCCAAATAAGGGGTACTTAGGGTCTAATAGAGGGTAGATGGAGGGTCTAGGTGTACTACCTTGTACGTATTGACTCTTGAGCACAGCAATCGCACGACAGGACAGCAGTCAATGTGGATGCCTAATTAAGAAATGCCGGCTTGATACACACCCCAAAATCAAGACCCAAGATAGCTAGGACTACTAGCAGCCCTCGTGCCAACCTACACCCTAAAGGGAATAGTATTCCCAATAAAGCTGACAGCCTCACCTGCGCCAGGGCGTGAGGAGAGCGATGCAGAGGCCGAAAGCCCGCTCGCAACCTCCTTGGCTCTCATCTAATGGCTTCAGGAGGGACCCTTAATAGGGACCCTTGTAGGTTATTGGGGTTGTTTCAGAAAATAGGGGACCCTAAGATAGTACCCTAAATAGTAGGATCCTTATTATAAGGACCCTTAAAATAAGGTACCCCTTATATTCGGAAACTCCCAAACAATGGTTATTTAAGGAAATGGGATNNGCTGACAGCCTCACCTGCGCCAGGGCTTGAGGAGAGCGATGCAGAGGCCGGAAGCCCGCTCGCAACCTCCTTAGCTCTCAGGCTTCCCCCAAAGGCCCAGTAAATGAAGGGGCCTTACTAATCAACTAGAATGGGGTGCCTTTGAAACTTTCGCGGGTCCATATGGGTACGATGAAGGTTGCTCTAAGGGTTTAAGATGAAGGCGATAATACTCTAGATAAGGTTTTGGTGTATACTACACCATGGTCGCCTACACTACCTCTGCAGTAGATGGCTATATCATTGCAATCCGTCCAAAATGCTTTCCCCCATGTCCCGGCGGTATTCACTGATTCAGAGGCACCTCACCACAGCAGTACTGTAGTTGCTGAAAGCCTCGAGCCCTATCAAACTAATTCTCTTTAAACTTTAAACCCAATGTAAGATCACCATGGCGCATACCGCCGTGTTTTACAGATTGCGTAGCTATACCCGGCCGCTACACCACAGTGCGCACCGCAGTGTTTGGCGAAAAGGGCTAAAGACTACCTGTACCTGGCCCTACAACATCTAAAACCCGAGATGGCAGGAAAGCTGCAGAAAGGACTTGACGACATCGCGGCTGGCTTTTTCCACAGCCCTGGCAACAACCGTCAATCCTCG